TACAGCCCCTGTCTCGCGTGTGTGTGTGTGTGTGTGTGTGTGTGTGTGTGTGTGTGTGTGTGTGTGTGTGTGTGTGTGTGTGTCTGTCAAGGAAAGCTGATGTCAAAGTCTCCCAAAATCACTTGCTCTGAGTCTTTTGTGCCTCCTTTCTGGTAGAAACTGGCTCTATACACCACAAATATCACAGGCCCTATTTGGGTAAACTTGTGTCCGCATGCTTTCGTGTCAGCGCAAATCTAGTCTAGCGTGTTTGGGGCCTTCTTGCGCCTGTCAGGGAGTGCCGGCGCATTAGCAACCTTGCCCCTGATGCACCTGATAAGTTGGTAACAGAAATAGAAAGTGGTCTGCGCTGAGCGTAAAAAGGGGCGCATCGTCGGGGCAATGGTTGAGTTCTGTATGCTGCTGAATTTAGATGCCCGACGCCTCACTGGGCATTACTTCCTTGCCTAGTGGCGCATCTCGGAATTTGGTGGCAAATAGTTGACAAAATTGCAGACTGGCTAAAAGATGGGCAGTTTTGCAGTGCTGGTGGTTCCAAGGCATTTTTGATTTATTCAATCGAGGCTCAGGCAGACCCGATTCGGCGCTCCACGGACGCGTGTGTTCATGGTAGTTTATTTCATAAATATGACACTAGCATGAGGCAATCCATCCGAATTGTAGAAATCGATTCATTATTATCATCCTAAAAATATTTTAATAGCATCCCCACCACTATTGGGGATGGGAGGCGGGGGTCACTCCGATGCGGTCCTCCATGCTTGACATTGCGGTAATAGAAATAGAGTCGCTGGGGTCCGTGCATGACACTGGCAAGTAAACTGCAAGATCTCCCCTTGTGGATGATGTCGTTGTCCGTGAATGTATCATGGGGAATTGGAGATTGCCTTGTGCCAGCAATCATGCATCTTTGTGAGACACCCCTCCACCCCCAGTGATAGGGGTGCTCTTAAAATATTTTTGAGATGAGAATCATGAGCCTATAGTCTGTTCGATAAATCAATTTTTGCAATCATTCATCGGGCTTTTCCAAAGTCAGTGTCATATTTATGAGTGAAATACAATGACGGATACCAATGGTGGATACTACGCACACCTGCGGAGCGCAAAATTTGACTGCCTGCATCTCGATCAAATACACTAAAATCGCGTTACACACCACCAGTGCTGTGAATTTGACTCGCTTTTTGTGAGTCTAAAATCCAGTGCACTTTTTGTAACTGAATTTGCAGATGCGCCGGGAGGTGCGGAAGAAACACTAAGTCCTCATCCTGACACAAAAATTAAATTATGCACATTTTTACACCAAGCGTACGGGCGCTAGTCTACCAAAATCGAGTCCTTGGTGTTTCACAGTGGTCATTACAGGAATGTGCAGAACTTCACCACAAGAACGGATGAGAGTCCATTGATACTAATTGCATTTCTGTGACCCGCAGGGGAGACCCGGGTGTGACTTTTGCAGAATAACCAGTGATGACATCAATCAAGTTCTTGGCTTGACCTCCAAAAATGTGTTGGGAAGTAAGTGGGACTCTTTTTGTTTGCATTTCTTTAGATGTCAATACATTTGAGGCTGATATGCTGTTTATATGTCACATTTGTTCAATTTGGTCGACACCAGATTAAATAGATGCAACAGCTTGAAAGTGTCCGTTATCATTCTAAAACATTTGACAGACATCGATTACAGTGGGCATCAAGAAAGAAGTATTACAGAGGAAACCTACTGCCATATTTTACAAGAATTAACTCTGATTAATCATTTTGGTGGCGGCACAGTGGACTGCTAGTTAGCACACCTCGCAGTACAGGGTTCGATTCCAGCTCCGGCCCGGGGAGAACATGCAAACTCCACACAGGAAGGCCGGAGCCAGGATCGAACCCACGACCTCTGCACTGTGAGGTCAACACGCTAACCACTGGAACCACCCGGCCGCCCACAAAATGTAAAGTTAAGCTAAATGTAATGAAACGCTGCCTCTTCAAGTGCTATCTGTCCTGTTAAAAAACACATTCATCCAAATTTTGTCTTTTTTTTTTTTTTTAAAAGGATGCCTCAAACACGTACACTCAACGCAAAAAATGTTGAAAATGACAAAAAAAAAAAAGGATCTTTATGTTTTTCGCAGGACAGCGATGAAACGTGAATGTCTAAGCGTTTTCTATGTTTACCTTCCCTCCTCAGATTGCATCCCCTGGCCGTGTCTTCAGCTATTGGGTGACGAGGACCCCAGCATCTGTCAGCACTATGTTCAAGCGCCCACTGATGTGCAAGTCGAGTTTGTACCCAATCTGGATCCTAATTCCGACACCGTTGTTGTCTCCTGGAAGCCAAGCCAATATGGTGTGTTGTGTTGACCTGCGCCTGAACACACACGTACTGTACCGTATGCCCAATCTCATTTTATGCAGTATGTTAAAAGCACTTTTCAATTGGAAACTGACTCGTAAGTCATATCAGACAGGACTGAACCTCCCTTGCCCACAGCTGCTGCTGCTTGACATGGACATGATTTATTTCAGTTCAGCTCATAAAAATATTGTGGTTTTATGTATCAGAGTTTGCACGTTGGAACATTTATTGATGCCAATTACGCTAAACGGTGGTTGTCAAAGCGAAATGGGATCTGACATGCACTGCTTTACCACAATAACCACCAACATGCATGATATTACACCCAATTGAAACCATAGCTCACAGCTTTATTTTGAATCATTTTTGTTTTTTCTCTTTTTTTTCATATTTGGAACAGTATGAGCGCTCCCAACGTGGGCCGAAACTTTTCTATCAAATGGTAGCTTAGGCTGTAAATCACTGACTTCCCCGTCAGGAAGAGCAAGATATGCAAAATATGGCCTGCGGGCTACCTGCGGCCCGTTGCATTCTTTCATCTAGCCCACTTAGCTTTTACATTCTCATGAGTCCTGTAATATTTGTTCTATTTTAAGCCTTATTTATTTGCGTCATTAGATAATTCGTTGATTGATTCATTGTACATGATAACACAAAACGTATAAGTTATACACAAATGCGTGCATGATTTATTTCCTTTTAAAAAAAGTTCATTCATAATTCAATTTAACAGAAACATTTTTTTTTAATCGATAGCGCATCATTATGTTTGTTCATTTTTACCTCACCTACATTTTACTCACCTACATCTGGCAGTTGGAAAAACCGAATGTAGCGCCTGAGCGCCAAAGAAAGAACAAATGAACTCAAACATCACCTTTCCGACATGTCTGAGAAAATTCCAAAAGAATGTCTTGCGGAACGCATTTTAGTCTTCTATGAAGATGCCATTTTACTTTATTTCTTTTTTCCTTTTGTTGCAGGTATTGCCTTCCTGCGAGGCTTTCAGGTGACAATGCAGCCCTTGACAGGTTCCGCTGCTTCCTGTCAGCTTTTTCTTTTCCGGAGAAACCTCACGCTCTCAGCTTCTCACGCCGAAAAGGTATTTCTCACCGGGGACCTTCCCCGCCACCAAAAGCGTCTACATCGACCTCAAAAATTGAAGTCTCGAAATGTAACTTGTAAAAATCATGAAGTCACACAAAATTAAGGCTTTTAGCCATGAATTTGAACATTTAAATACAAACAAACTTTGATTAAAAGTGCTGAAAAAAACGAGTGTGATTTCGTATCAAAAACAATAAAATGAAAGCGCCAGTATTTCCAAGTAAGAAATCCCTTCCAAAAATATTATATCAGGACATACCATCGCAGGTACATCATTTGTTGAAATAAACTGCTCATGACAGCATTTGTCCTCTTGCAGGTCTACAAGTCAGACCCGTTTCCCGGCCTCCCCCTTGGGTCCCATTATGCCATTACTGTTATGGCTGTGCCGGTGCCTGAGAGGTGGGAGCGCTTCTATCGGAGCAAGATCTTCACCACACGCTGTAAGACGCACTTGTGTACTTGCACGCAAATCATGTTAGATTCAATACTTGTACTGGGGATCCTTAACAGTACGAATGTCTTTGTTTCGAAAACCCAACCATTTTTTTTTTTTTTTTTTTTTACTTTTTCATGAATTTCATCACACCACAACACCTCGAAGCATCGAGGGGGCAGCATCATGCTTTGGAGATGATTTTTTTTTTTTCAGGTCGAATTGGGGCCTTAGTTAAGGGGGAGGGAATTATGAAGAGTTCCAAATACCAGTCAGTGTCAGCACAAAACCTTGAGCCTAATAAGAACCGCTGAAATTTATGTGGGGTTCGTCAGAGGCACTTCGAAAGGTGGGGGGGGGGCGTTTGGTGACTCCCATTTAACATGACTTGAATGTATTTGTTTATTAACAAAGCCACATCCCCAACTATGAGCGTGTGCACACTTTTGCAACCACAGTCTCAATTGTTTATCTTGAATTCTTGAAAAAAAATATTTTTTCCCCTTCAATTTAGTTGTTGAAGTTATATGTCACATTATTAGTGGGGGGGAGAGTTCTGAAATGAGTCTTCTTTTTTTTTTTTACATCACAAAAACGTGATATTTGAACAAGAGTGTGTAAGACTTTTGATATCCTCTGTGTATACATACACACACGCATGCACACACACACACACACACACACACACACACACACACACACACACACACACACACACAGTCCTGTATTTCCAGTTCAAGTAAAATACAGCACACGCAATTGTAGTAACTAATGTATGTTGTGATCTTGCAGCATGTGAAGAGAAAAATGGATTTCAGAACTGCAAAGCAGGTGAGGAAACAAAGATCCGTCTCGACTTTCGCACATTTTACAACAAAATGACCAATTCAATATTGAAACCTCATTTTGACCATTGCTTTGAAATTAGAACAAATTTGGAGTTTTCACTGTAAAATTGTGAATATCTTATACTTCACTTCCAGCTTTGCATTCATGAAAAATTGTTGCTTGTTTTTGTAGACTGGTATCCGAAGCATGTTGAGGTTCAGCAAAGAGGAACTGTGATCACCGTCACATTCAACTTGGCGCCTCTTAGCTTGGGCATCAAAACGTACTTCACTATTTGTTCAGCAAACGGCAAGACCACGTACACAGAGATTGCACCTGTAAGTGATCCAAATACACTAACTGGAGATATATATATATATATATAGAGAGAGAGAGAGAGAGAGAGAGAGAGAGAGAGAGAGAGAGAGAGAGAGAGAGATTTTTTTATATGGTTATTAATTCAATGTATTCTTCTTTAGAATTATTCCTTAAACCGAACCCACCACAGCTTCGAGCTCAGAGACCTCATAGAAGGAAGCAATTACACATGCGAGGTAAAATGACTATATGGAATTTAACAGATGCTCATGCTAATGTTTTCTGTGATTTCCCACTAAATACTCCTGAGAACACAATGGCAGTTCCCATGTGAATAATTATCTTGATGACATTTATGTTCCAGATTGCCGCAAACGAAATTGATGCCGTGAGGAAATTGTTCAGATTTCAGGTCAAGCACTCAGGTACGTGTTTGAAGTGAAATTGCTTTCAAATGCAACTGAACATGGTCAGAGCACTTTTTATTTTGCATCATGAACGTGAGCCACAACATATTATCTCAACAAATATTGGAAACAAAGACAGAATTAAATGAAGTGACGGCTATGTCTTCAATGCTGAGGTCAATGTTTCTTGAAACAAAAAAAAAAAAAAAATCAACAACAACAATTTTCCTGCCCTCAGAAGTTGTCTTCGTATCTCCGAGCTGGACTCTGCTGCTTCCCCTGTGCTGTGCTGCAGTGGCCATTTTTGTTATCCTGTGGGTCATTATCAGGCGGTGTCACTGTGCACGAATGAACAAGTCGAACATCAAATCAGGTGCAAAAAGCAGTTTAAACATTTGAAATGACATTACAAGAGTACACTCTTATTTTATGAACAAATCAAATATTTATTTCAGTATTTTGATATGTTGTGTTGAACATTTTGTAAACACACTATGTACCCTCCTTCTCAGAGTCAATAAGGCAGCTGGAAGAAGTGAAGGCCCAGGAGGAAGTGATGATACTGTCTGAGAAATGCAAGAACCCTCCTCGTCTTTTGATCTGCTACAGCAGTAATGATGGGCCCGCCCACGTCAATGCGGTCATGAAGCTCGGAGCCTTCATGCAGCAACACATGGCGACTCAGGTAGTCCACTTGGCGTTTTGTTACGAGCGTGCGACAGAAATGTGCTAACTAATTTTCGATGGCATACGTAATATGGATTGGGGTTAATTTTGTCACACTGACTGTATGTGAAAGAAAATGGTGGGGCAGCCACCGGTTAGGTAGGCCTACATACCGTAGCTACATATCGGGATAATGACAGAACTCTTTCCCACAACAAATGCTCAGTGTGATTTTAGTTGTCATCTGCCCCCCCCAGGTGTGTCTGGACCTTTGGGATTCCCTGAGGATGGCCGAGGAAGGAACCTTAGAGTGGTTCTGCCATCGGATGCAGGAAAGCGACTTTGTCTTGGTTATTTGCTCCAAGGGTCTGTGTCGCAAAGGTGGGTCTTCAGAACAAGACCTCTTGGGTTCTGAGTTAATGGTCAGCCTCATCGGAGCGGAAGTGGGCCGAGCCAAATCTGACGGCAGGGACCTCTCCAAGTACATGGCAGCGATATTTAATTACTCAGAGGAGGCAGATATCCCCACCGAACTGGGTCTGGTCTTCCGCTACAGGCTGACCGCTGACTTGCTGCTGCTTTTCTCACAACTGCACCAAGTGCGCCTTCACACGCCAGGCCGCTATGTCAAGATAAACAATATCTCAGAGCAAGATTTTGCCATGTCACCTTCTGGACGGGCTTTGCAGCAGGCGATCAGTGACTCGGAGAAGGCGATGAAGGAAAGCAGTTAGCAGGAAGGCAGAGAAGGAAATGCAAAGGAGAAATAAATGAGAATACTTTTTTATATTCTTGCTGATATTTTACAGGCTACCCTATATTTTCTTAACTGATAACCTATTTAAAAAAAACCAAACAGAACCCCCCCCCCCCCCCCAAAAAAAAACACCATTCCATACCAGCCAAAGTTAATAACCTGTAGTGGACCATCTGAAGTTAATGACAGCCGCTAACCTCTCCTAAGTGGCCTGAAATGAAGATGTAGGAAGCTAAACTGTTACCGCTGATGTGCCCCATGAACATTATACTTCTACCTCAGCAATGCACTTTGACCTAAGAAATGTGTCGATATTGTATTAATTGTAGTTATTTGCACCACAGGATGTATGACAGCTTGAAATGAACGTACTCCGAAACAAGTGTTCTCATAAAGTTTCCTGTTCTATGTAAAGAAATATTGTGAAGCAAATGTCACAATGCTGTGATTGCTGATTTTTATGAATAAGCTATTTGTGGTGTAGTTGGATGGATATTTATTACATCAGTGTATGTGTATTACACTAAATCATATATACTGTGCCAGAACAATATTCAAATGAGTATGAATGTGTGAATTGTGGTTTTCTAAGTTGTGAGTAGGAGTCAAGTTTGTGTACGATGGACAATGAGTACTCACATTGACTTTGACTTGTTGGATTGTAATGTGTGTATTTCAACGAACAATTCAAGTAGTAGTCAGCTTTTATAAACACAATTTACACAGATTCATTTTTCCAATGTCTGGCAGTCCTTGTGTCGAACCTCATCCCACTAAAATGGGTTCTCCTTCTCTTTGCACTGGTTGTGAACTATGCATTTTGTGATATTTATGATATGATGTACAGTTAATGATGTAACTTTTTATACAAGCTCTTCTGTGAAACATATGTACAAGACATCAGAGTAGAGGAGACAATCTTTGTAATGTATAAACGACTTATTTTGTATAGTATGTTATCTATTGCTTTTCTATACCCAAAATCTAATAAAGTACCCTCGGGTGTATTCAATGTGTCATGTGACAGTCACTCTACGATATATGATTATCTCGAGTTGTCAACAAACGACAGTAAGTTTGTTTAAAAATGCGTGTGGCAGAAAGTAATGAGATGCCAAGATCAAGATGGCAATGTCGAGCAACTTTGCCCTCTAGTGGTTGTAAACGACATACGACATGACAACATGATCTTCCAGTAATAGATAAAATAGTGTTAGTCCCTAAAAAGCGGGAAAATGTTTTCTTGATGTGTCAAGACAATAAATTCCTGTATTCATAAATAATACTTCTTGTAACCTTCCATCTGAAATTTGCTCAGATATCTTGGTATTTTCTCAGCCAGCTTTGTGATGCTGTATGCCCAGGAATGTCTTTCATTTCACAACAGTGCATTATCAAAAGTTAATAGCTTGAATTTATTGACCTATGGGGTCATTTGAATTTGAAGTTTTGTCCTAACTTTTGACTGGCACTTAAATAAAATCCGTCGGGGAGTTTTACTCCGTGTATTTCATGCGATGTTGTGGGTTGCCAGAAGCGTGTTAACCCTTCCCATAGGTTGATGCAATATCCCCCGTAACTATATCTAAACCTTTATTTCGTTCTTTTTTTATCTTTAACCATGATTTTTTTTAAGTGAATCAAGTCAAAGCAAATAAAGCGTAGTTGAGGTTGAAATGGTGCATTTTCGTCGCTGGAGTCGCAGAATCTGGCAACACAGTAGAAGCGCAACACACGCTGGAGCTCAATTCCGGCTTTCGTTTGGTGTCGGACAGCGTGGAGACATGGTACTCGACTTGGACCTTTTTCGGACAGACAAAGGCGGTGATCCTGAACTTATCCGTGAGGGTCAAAGGAAACGCTTTAAGGATGTTACGCTCGTCGACAAGCTGGTCGCCGCGGATACAGAATGGAGAAAGTGTAAGATGCTCCCTCCTCGTTCAGTCACAGGAGAGAATGCTAACATCGTAGCCACTGATGCTAACGTCAGTGTAACGCCGTTAACGATTTCACAGATTTTAATATTGTATCTACCGTCTGTCGTTTAGTTGCGTGTTGTTTAACACGTGAAATGAACCGATAATTTAAGAACATTGCCACTGTTCGGCATAAAAATGCACATGGAAACGCTTAAAAAATAGTGTTTAATCCATATGTAGTTTGTTTCCACCCAGACCAACGCCGCAGTGGCTTTCGCGTTCACCTGCAGTGCAGGCGGCAGTGCATTCAACATTTTTCAATTAAACTTTTTACAATGGGCGTGGTTAACTTTCCCCGAACTTACCGTGTTGTTCTCATTTCAAACCTCAAAAGAGTCTCTTTAACTTAGTCGTGACAGATAGCGTTTTTCACAAGGGTTTGATGCGATGTGTCAAGTCTGCATATGCAACCTCGCTATGGTGCTAATGTTAGCATCATTCAGCCAGGAAAGTAAGCCAAAAAAGGCAACAGTTTTTGGTTAACTGTGTGAATGTCGAAAATGGGCACCTACACACACAAACATCACTGTAGTTTTAATTAAATACCTATGTGGGATGCATGACGTTGAGTTAGTTTAGCTTGGCCGGCTAAGAACGTGCAGTCTGACGCAATACCGACTGTTCGTTTGACAACCTCGCCCAGCTGGTTGACTCCACCACGCGTGTCATTGTGACCCACACTGCAGATACAGTACACAGTGTTATTTGTTGCTTTGATTTCTTGTGCACACTCCACTATATTATGATTGTGCGAGATCACTTGCAAAGAAGTTGCCATGAGTGCTGTCCATGAGAAACGTATTCCCATAATGCATCGCTCACTGTCTCACACAGGCCGCTTCACTGCAGACAACCTCAACAAAGCAAAAAACCTTTGCAGCAAGAGTATCGGGGAAAAAATGAAGGTATCGGCTTGACCTTTAGAAAAAGGTGTGTCAAGTTATTTATTTATTTTTTGTTAACCTTTGACCCATTATGTCATTGAAGAGGAAAGAACCCGTTGGGGAAGATGAGTCAATCCCTGAAGCGGCGCAGAATCTGGAGGCGCTCACGGCAGATATACTCTCGGTATGTGGTACTTTAGTGATTACATGTTTGCACTTGCACGAAATAGAGAAACGTCCCCCCCCAATTTAAAAGAGTCCCCAGGAGTTTTCATAAAAGATCTCTGACAGTCTTCCATAAAAAGAAAGAACGTACGAAGCTTTTACCTCCTTGATGGAAATTTTTGACTTTTAACGGGAGGAGGTGCCACTGCTTATCTTGCCATCTGTGCAGCTGGGCCAATGGCAATTACGGCTTTTGTCTGACTGGAGTTGGAACTATGATTTTGCGGGGCTAGTGGCAACATAGTTTTTTAACAACAAGCGACAAATTCTTTGTTGATTTGTGTTGTGGATGCATGCATGTGGTGCATGAAGTGGACACATAGCTAACGCTCATCCGTACACTGCAGATGGGTTTACTTTTTGGTATTGGCATGATAATCCAGAGACCAGTCATCCAGAGAGCCAACAATTTGCATACAAGTCATTAAAAATCAAGTTTCCATAACTTGTCCCCTTTAAGAGTTTTTATGAGTAATTCATCTTTACATTTTAATTGTGGCTTCCTTCCTTCCCTCCTTCCCTCCTTCCTTCCTTCCTTCCTTTCTTTCCCTCCCCTCTCTGTAGGCCCTAACAGTGACCCAAATCAAGAAGGTGCGTGTGCTGGTGGATGAGGCCATGCTAAAAACTGATAGTGAACGGTTGAAGCTGGAGGGGGAACGCTTCTCATACCTGAGGGAGATTGGAAATCTTCTGCACCCATCTGTGCCCATCAGCAACGATGAGGTGTGTGTCTGAATTCAAGAATTCCCCCCCGGAAGTTACAGTTAGTAATCCCATCTTGGTGTCTGCCGCTATTTTTGCAGGATGCGGACAACAAGGTGGAGCGTACATGGGGTGACTGCAGCGTCCAGAAGAAGTACTCACATGTTGACCTGGTGGTCATGATTGACGGCTTTGAGGGGGAGAAGGGGGCCGTCGTGGCTGGGAGTCGAGGCTACTTCCTGAAGGTGAACTCGTAGAGCATGTCCACAAACGCTCGCCGACCTTTCCTGTCTTTTACTTTTCTTACTCTTTGACTCTCTTGTTGTTCAGGGCCCGCTGGTGTTCCTTGAACAGGCTCTAATCAACTACGCCATGAGGATCTTGCACAACAAGAACTACACCATGCTTTACACGCCCTTCTTTATGAGGAAAGAAGTCATGCAGGAAGTGGCCCAGCTCAGCCAATTTGATGACGAGCTTTACAAGGTAAATCATCCCAAAAGAGAGAGTGAAACGTGTTTCTGAAAAATTTTTAACCAAGACACATTTATCCCTTTCATCTTTTTCACAAAGCAAAAAAATTTCCCCAATCTGAAAGTCTGAAATTGTGCGTTTTTGTAGTTTATTGTTGAACAGGAATTTCCGGTATTGCTTTTGTTTGGCAATAATTTTCCATGAAGACCACAACATCTTAACCACACTGATAATTACAAACTGACTTCTGCTTTTTTCAAAGCTTCATTGTCATTTATTCCACATATACAGAAAACAATTTAAGCATAAGTCGGCCTGTTTGCTAATGTATAATTCTCCACCTTCAATTCATAAAGCCATTCGCATTATCCACCGTTAATATACAAACATGTTATTTTGAGTGGCACTAATTTGTTGAAAATAACAGAATGGTAAAGAAGAAAACTGGGTTGCGGCGTTTCCCCAAAAGAGGATCATTGCTACTTTTGAATATATAGCTGGAATGAATAAGATGTACCATTAGCCTGCAAGGGAAGTGAGCATTTTGTTACTGATCGATCACCGCTGTAATTATGTTTCTGCGTTCTTAATGCTGGCCCTGGGCAATTTTTGTCTTGAGTTTGAGTCGTTGACCTCCTGTGGGTTTCTGTGCAGGTCATCGGTAAAGGGAGCGAGCGAGCAGACGACAACTCCATCGACGAGAAGTACCTCATCGCCACTTCTGAGCAGCCCATCGCGGCATTCTTGAGGGAAGAGTGGCTCAAGCCCGAGGACCTGCCCATACGCTACGGCGGCTTCTCCACCTGCTTCAGACAGGAAGTGGGCTCTCACGGCCGAGATACACGTGGCATCTTCAGGGTGCATCAGTTTGAGAAGGTTGGCCTTGTTAGATCAAGATGGTTCTGATCCGTTTAAAGTGGCACTGAAATGTCTTCTCTCTCCGCCCCCCCCACCCCTGCTTAGATTGAGCAATTTGTCTACGCGTCACCGCACGACGGAAAATCGTGGGAGATGTTTGATGAAATGATCGGGACCGCAGAGGAATTTTACCAGTCTCTCGGGATTCCATATCGCATCGTCAACATCGTCTCTGGTATGTCTGACCTCCTACCTACCACATCTTTTACCATATTGAAACACACAATAAATTGTTTTCCCCACGAAACACCATCTATTAACATGTAGTTTGTCCACAGATCCTGAAAAAAAACGCTTCAATTTGATTTTCCAAAATTAATTCTTAAAAGTCACCAAAGAATGATATTCTTAAAATATCTTCACGCTGACAAAGGTCTTAAAATGCCTCTCGTTGTCCAATCGTGTTGACCTAGCTGACAAGAAAAAATATTTGAAATAACTCAACTTCATTTTGTTGAGGTGGATTGTATGAAATAATGCAAATACAAATCTTCTTAAAATAATGGAGTGTAACTCTGAGTCCATTCAACGACTAAGAGGTTTTACATTTGATTAAAGTGCAGTGGTTAGTTTGTCGACTTAGGAGTTTTATTTGTTCCGTGACCGAGCTTGGAACACAACATTATTGTATCTCGAATCAATATTCTCCATTGAAATGAATTCAAAATGCCATGAATTTTCTCCACCCTCTAGAAAAGCCGCCACAATTTTAACTGCTAAATAGGGGCAGTCATAAGTCAGGATACCAATGGAGTAACATTTTATTATCGTCTATTAGAAGAAACAAGACTATTCCTGAAACCAGAAAAATGTAGCCACAGTGTCGCTACGTCGGCAGCACTGAAAAGGGAAGCCGTTGCTCTTGCTTGCTTGTACAGCCCACACATGAACCGGCTGTAGAAATATGGTCTGCTCTTGGACCAACCAAAAGAAAGAAGGTGAAACGAAACAAATCACTTGTTGCCATTAATGACAAACCAGATCCACAGCAACGTGGTTTTATTGACACATACATTGGCAGGAACACATCCCATTCCCTTTTTGCAGCTAAATAGCAATTTACCATCGACCAATCAGTGAACAGATGACAACCAGCAGTACTCTGCACTTTTTTGAGAAAATCTGCCAATGCAGACAACTCGCAAGCACTAGTTGCTTATTTTTAACAGAAAGAAACTGAAATGGCCTTTAAGGATGTGCTCCTCAGTCGTTTGAATTCAAGTAAACTCTCATCTCATTCATCTTCAGGTGCCCTCAATCACGCCGCCAGTAAAAAGTTGGATCTGGAGGCCTGGTTCCCAGGGTCAGGTGCTTTCCGAGAGCTGGTCTCCTGCTCCAATTGCACCGACTACCAGGCCAGACGCTTGCGTATCCGCTACGGACAGACCAAAAAGATGATGGACAAGGTGGGGAATGCAGCAATCGATAAGTTTTGGTTATTGTAAGTGTTTAATGGGTGCGAGTATCAGTGGGGTCACGATGAAGGAAGTGAGACATCATGCGTTTCGCCACTTGACGGCTCCCCTTAGAGGGTGCAATTTCAGGCCCCACTTTGTTTCTGTGACCATTTTGAAGAAGAAAATAACAAATGTAATCTTATGCATCGATAGGTTTCCAACCATCGATGTCTGGGACATTTTGGGTTTGACTTTTAAAAAGCTTTACAACATCAGACTTCTCTTTTTTTCTCCAAAAATTATTCTTTTGTTACAGTTGACCGACATACATGTAGGAGTCTGAACTTACAACTACGATTCTCTTCATCTCCTTTTTACCCAACACAGCACTTAATTTTCATTGCAGAAAGACATCTAATTTGATTACCGGTAGTTGCGCAAGGAAACTATTTTTGGAAACACCCTCATCGATGGCTGTACCTCAAGACGCTCCCTGTTTTTCCTGTTTCCAGGCAGAGTTTGTTCACATGCTTAACGCCACCATGTGCGCCACCACGCGCGTGATGTGCGCCATCCTGGAGAATTACCAAACAGAAGAGGGCATCCTTGTTCCTGAGAAGCTCAGGGAATTCATGCCGCCCGGTAAATCGAGTGACCGTGCTGAAAGCTGTTAAGATGAAGAACACGACCATGAAATTTTGTTGAACCCGTGTGCAGAGGTGGCGGCGGGAGGGGACCTTTAGTCACATCACTTAAGTCAAGTCAGACTTAAATTTCCATTTTTTGTAGGGCTGGGAACTTGGTGAAATGTTTTGACAGACTCGACCCGAGTTTGACCTGGTATTCGTTAGACTTGAGCTGGCTTTAACTCGAATAACTTGACTTGACAAGCCTTGCCTGTTTTCATATTGTCACTGTCCTGTGAAAAATACATGATGTCCATTTGAAACCATTTTTACATTCATGTGAACATTTAAAAGGTGACAAAATTGGACCGACGTATTTTTTCACACAACAGTGATGATTTGTAAAACCTGCGATTTTCCAGGTACTATAAAAACCTTGCAAATTTCAGGCTGTTGAGGCTTTTTTTTCTTTTAAGAAAAGCACATTTTTGTGTAGTGCATGCAAACTTGGCTCATCACCAGTATGCTTATATGCCAAGTGACACCTCATGAGGCAAGTATCTTGGAGGGAATGCCAATGATGATTGCATTTGGGTTGAAGAATATGTTTTGGATTAAAATCGTGAAGAGGTGGATACATGCAAGGTGATCCTTAATCTTCTCTGTTTGGCATTGGCATTCAATGTTTCGTACGCTTTTTTTGAGGTACCAGTTCAGGATGTACTCAAGTATTTTTGCCGTTTGTAGCAGGCTTCAATCTCTGTCTCCTGCGAATAGTGTCGATACACCGCACAGGAGGAGGGTGACCAAATATCCTGTTTGTGCTTGCTTTGTAATACCAGATTTGTCCACCTGTCTCTGCTATTTATCAAGGTATGACCGAAATCATCAAGTTTGTCAAACCGGCGCCCATCGACCAGGAGATGTCCAAAAAGGCAAAGAAACAGAAGAACAAGCAGGCGGGAGATCAGAGCCTCCCCGACGCCATGGAGCAGATGTCGGTCAACAACTCCTAGATGCGCAAATGATTAAATGGGATGAAATTGGAACACCGAATTCTTTTGGAGAGGGAAGAAAACAAATGTTGGCACTTTTAAATGATAAATGTTGGTTCTCCACAATGCTTTTGTTGGCTCCATTCTAACAGTCTGTCCCAGAATTGACATAGGGAGAGTTCATGTGCAATTTTCGGCTGTCATAGACCCATCTCATAAAATGGCTCACTCACATTCCGAGCCTAGCACAAACGAGATCACTGTAATTTCTGGCTTTTATTTTTTGTTTGCTAGTGCTTTAAAACGCAGGGGACCACTGTAGTGTAGTACTACTGTAAATCTGTCCTCAAAATTTCATTTAAGGCCAAACACAATTTGGGAAAGAAAAAAAGAATCCTCCAAAGGTTGGGCCATGTTCTAAAGCTGTCACAACTAAATCTGTGGTAAATTTGTATCTTGAGAATTTCTGATGTGTCAACTTAATTTGAGGCTTTGAATTCCCCTCATATTGCCTTTTCCCTCTTGTTTCATCATGTCACTGTTGGAACTTATACAGCCTGTAACAAGAGACTCACCGAGTGGCTCTTACTGTAAGCATATTAAATCCGGGTCATATGCAAGTTTTTTTTTTTTTTTTTTTTTTTTTGTTTTGTTCTTTTGTCTGTCCTAAAATGCCTTTCCAGTTTAAATTCTTGCGTAGTTTTCATTTGCAACTGGTCGCCAAGGATATCTGATAACAGATAATAAGGAAGACGCAAGTTATTCATTAACTCCAGCAGACTTTAGTCCTGTCCACTAAAGGAAGTCCTTTATTGTCTACTGTCAAAACAGAAAGCTCAAGTTACATTTCTCTTTTCATTACTGATATTTACGTTGTGTGTATATAAATAAGAGCTCTTGGCCACTTGGCTGAATCTTCTCGCAGGAAGGATGAGTGACACAGAGGATGACAATGAGATCTCTTTTACAGTAAAGGTAAGTATTTTCGACCGATTCTTGAGCGTGACAATTCAGCAAATCGGAGAATAATGTACAGTCCAATCTCAATCAAAAGATCTCGGTGCGGTGAAATTCTGGGATATAACAAGCCTGGTTTATGCATCACCCTATGTGGTTGTGTACACTAGTTTCTCGGCCGAGTGGAGGTGGTCCGCCATAACGGGCTAAATATCCTGGAGGAAGCTGCTCAGAGTCTCAAGGTAACCAAATATAGCTGCACCCTTTCCATGGTGTCTCACAAAGTACACCTGGACAAGAAAATAAGATCCAATACAGGCGAATCCAAACATCTGTTTTTTCTGAGTTTGTTTTGATTGACGCTGTCAAATGAGCTTGCTGATGAGCGGTTCATTTGAATCATTTTTTTTGGATGAGTGAGACTTTGCGTACATGCTGGATAGGGTCCCTGGAGGACCATAGTTGGACACCCCTGATGCAGAGAATTCAGTTAATTTAGCATGCATATACCTTGAATGGGCAGCGCGGTGGGTGAGCCAGTGGTTAGCGCATTGACCTCACGGTGCAGAGGTACCGGGTTCAATTCCAGCTCCGGCCTCCCTGTGTGGAGTCTGCATGTTCTCCCTGGGACTGCGTGGGTTTTCTCCAGGTACTCCGGTTTCCTCCCACGTTCCAAAAAAATGCAGGACAGGTTAATGGAACACTTCATATTGTCCCGAGGTGTGAGTGTGAGTGCGAATGGTTGTTCGTCTCTGTGTGCCCTGCGATTGGCTGGCAACCGGTTCAGGGTGTCCCCCGCCTACTGCCCGAAGACAGCTGGGATAGGCTCCAGCACCCCCTGTGACCTTTGTGAGGATAAGCGGATCGGACAATGGATGGATGGATGTACTTGGAATGTAGGTGTAAATCTGAGGATGCACATGCAAACTCTACATAGGGAGATTGGAGCCGACATGCTGCCCGCCAAGTAAAAATGTATACGCAAAATAGTTGAGCGATTCATTTTCATGACGTGAAATTGTGTATTTTACCAATATATATGTTTTAAATTTCCAATTAATCAGTTTACCAATTAAGGATATTTTAACTAGCCTTTGGGGGGCGTGGGTTTCCTGTTGCAAGTTGTTGAAACTTTAAAAACGTGTCAACCTCAAGTCTGGCCACCTTTTAAAATACATTGAAAAGTACAACAAAAGTTTTTACGAGCTTAGGATTTCAAAACTAGTTATCCATCAATTTGTTTTATAGGCCTATATGTGATAATATGAGGTAAAATCATACATTTATTAGGGTTCACAGTCATTGGCCTTCAGAGGGAAACCATAACTACGATGCGGCCTGTGACAAAAATGTGTTTCACACAGGTGCTTTAGATGAGTCTAAGTGTTTGTGTCGTCAAATGAAAGAATGCTTGGGGTTGTACTCGATGTGGCTTCCGGGCCATACTTTACTTACCCAAGGTGGAAAAGCGACATTTTATAAAAAATGTTTCTCACATTGGATCTCATTTGAAGGCGTACATAATGTTGTGATAAACGCCGTTTAAAGCTGTCCCCTGTCATCCACAAGACGCCCGACCCATACGCTTCAGAAAAGGCTGCAAAGAAGAGCAAAGTCCATCTCTTTGTGTCTCTGAGCGGGATTGACATCTTGGAAAACAAAACCAAGGTGCGCAACACCCCCTAAAAACCAAGACCTTCAAACATCCTCGTCTGACACAGACTTTATCCTCCTGTCAGTTTCTGCTGTACACCTGCCCCCTCCCCACGATTTCCTTCTGCGCCGTCTTGCCCTCGTCGCCCAAAGTGTTCGGTTTTGTGGCCAAGCACCCAGCGGTCGACATGTACCATTGCTACTTGTTCAAGAGCGAGACTTTGGTGAGCATGCGTACATTTAACACCAACTGTACCCCGGCCTATCGGTACGTCTCCCAATTTCCAAAACTTGTTCCCAGTCGTACGTGCTGGTCTCGGCCATCGGCGATGTCTTCCGAGCCGCGAAAAAAGAAGAGAGCGTCAGGGGCAGTCGAGACCTGATCGTGGAGGCACTCAGGCACAAGGTCGGCAGCCGCGCGGTTATAATGATGATACAATATACCATATGTACAATACTCTCCTACATGATCACTGTTTTGTCACTTTCAGAACAAAATGCTGCAAAAGGAGAATTCCGAGCTAAAGAGGAGGCTTGCGGACCAGAACAACCAACAATAAGAAGATGAGATTGGAGTGTTTCTGCACCTGCATGTAACTAACTATTATAGCCTACCAACAAAACGAACTGGCCTCCTTGTTTACTTGCAAAGTTAACAATGTCGAGTCATTGTAAAATGAACCAACAAAACAAGAACAAGAAAACACAAATTCATAAACTTCTGGCAACTGTCAGAATGTTGTTATTGGGATCACCGTTTTTCACAGTTGAATCCATGTGAAAACTTGGTGTCGCTCGGGCAGTTAAAAAAAAGCATCACAGAAACAACTGGACACAAATAACTGGGAAAATAACATCGCTGACACTCTTGTCCGTGCTTGGCTGCTGAAATATTGAAGTTTGTTTTCTACCAATCTGGAACATTACTCGCTAGCTTTTTGTTCGTTGTTTTTAAGCTTTTGGCAGTCTGATTTATGCTGCACAAAGAGTTTGAAAGTGGAGGGTTTTTTTTCTCTCTCTCTGCAGCATCATCACATCATTCTGGACATGACAAGTCTTGACCTAACTTTTAAGATCAACTTCCTCCCGTCCCTTCCATGATGACTGAGCAGGCTGACCTCGGCACTCTGTTTCCGTCTTTTGTACTCACCATATTTCTTTTGCCCTTGAACAAACATTTACAGTTTTGGATGTTTGATGACTGACGATCTGGTTCAGGGTGTCCCCTCGCCTACTGCCCAAAGACAGCTGGGACAGGGCTCCAGTATGCCTCGCGACCCTTGTGAGTGGAAAGCGAGTCAGAAAATGGATGGATGGATGGATGGATAAATAAACCCCATAGCTTCTACGTAATGAAAATGTTAAAAATAATTTGTTAAATACATATTGCCAAAAATCCCACGACGGTACAATGTGAGAAATGAACAGACAGCCCCTGTTTGTGCCCAAATAGTCTGTGAGTGAAAGCTAAAATAATTTGAGCGCAATTGTTCTACCCTAGTGGAGAGCCGGTAAATTGCAATTTTGTGAACTTTATGACTAAAAATTAAATGAAAAAAAAAAAAATCTTCAACTTCCCCAAAATGAAAGTTTCCAAATTGTAATGTTCCCATCCCAAGTAACTACAGTCGCGTATTGTCGATCTGAATTTAGTGGAATACTCTACATACAAACATACTACATATGACACAGACATCATTTTATTCATTTCCATGACTGCATACAGTAAAAAAGTTTTTTTTTTGTTCATATCTTAATGTTGCATAAATTGGATAGAGAGACAAAACATGAAAAAAAGACCAGTGAGATATAAGACTGTTAGCCTTGTTATACTTTATGAAGCCTCATTATAGACAACCCATCCTGTATTTTTGTTTTGTTTTTAGCCCAACAAATAGGCTGTCAAGCCACACACAATGAGAGCCACATCAATGCCTAACCAACCAAAACACATTCGCAACTCTGGCACCCAAATTTCCATCATCGGGTGAATAAAATGGATTTGTTTCTGTTTACACCGCCACCCCCTTTCGCGCTTTTTCCATATTTGGATTTTTCCCTCTGACCTATTCCTCACTCTGTTGTTCCACCTTTTCCTCATTTCGCCATCTTCCAGAAATAAGCCATTAAATCTTTGTTCATCCAAACGACATACTGAGTGTAGACCGTTCCTGCCAAGTATGCTGCTTGCTAAAGCTGAAAGATACTTTGGACAATAAATATTGTGGAAACCCCCCCCCCCCCCTCCGCCCCACACACATACACACGAAATATATATCTTGTAGGTGCAAAATCGCAGTATACAAGTGAGGAATCTTCACAGTTGATTAGAAGGAATTAATTTCACAGCATGTAAAATCAGGAGGGGGGGGTGGAGTTGTTAACACTGAATTCTGAGCTCACGTCTGCGAGCAGAACCTTTGAAAGAAAACTGAGGAGCTTGTAAAATTTAATGCTTTAGGGGGTCTACTAGTCTCTCAGGGATGGATTCGTTATCGGGGAAGGTCTCCTGGAAGGCTCTCTTGAGGCAAAAAGGCCTGTAATAACAAAGATGTGGAGGGTAGGGCGGGGGGCTTGTGGAGGTGCATGGAGAATTTTGCCTTTTAAGGGGGTCCGCTCTCTCTTGTTCAGGCCCTGTGAGCTCATGCGCAGCCATCACAACACTGAACAGATTAGTTTCAAAATAAACAAGACGAGAGAAACGCGCGCGGCATTTTCAGTGCTCCACGCTGCACTCGTCGGGTCCTTTTTCAGGTTGTCTTGGCTTGAACGGATCGTATGTTGTTGACATACTTGGGCACAGAGAGTCTGAGTTTGAGTCAGAGGCGTGACGAGCATCCTATCAGCCGCCGTCACCGCTGTGGTTTTCTCGCTTGTTTTTCAGACAATACCAACAATGTGCTTTGGGACTGAGACGGCCGAGGGGAGGCCGCCTGCATCTGGGGGCAGGAAGCCCAAAGGAGATGAGATGAGGGAAGGTGGGAGGGGGGATTGCGGGGGTAAGAACAGAGAGGTAATTGTGTGCGCATATATAAGAGTGAGGTAAGCTAGCTAAGCGGCAGAGGCAGGGCAGGCAGGAGAGGGAAAGGGAGGTGTGTTTTTGGGATGGGAAGGGTGGAAAAGAGTGAAGAAAGTCTCGATGGATACTGGGGAGTCGAAGGAATAAGGCAAGTAGGAACGCGTGCGTGGGTAAAGTAGAATAATGGGTCCCCACGTGCCAGCATGGAGTTGAGTAAGAGTTGTTTTTAAAGTGTACTTTGAAAGGAAAGGGGTGGGTGAGCATATCCTCCCCTCTGTTTCTTCGAGCAAGTTGAGCCAGGCTGTACCAGAGCCAGGAAAAGGGGAAGGGCCTCCATCTCCTCTTTTTCCGACTGACAAAAACAGCTGAGCGGGAGCCCGATCTCGAGGCTTTGCGGTGGACCGGGAAGACGAGGACGAGTGGTGGATAGCAGGTGGAGACATCCCTGACGTCAGGACCCCCATCCACCTACATGGGTTGCGTCCTGAGCTCGGACTGGTGCGGGGAGGACGTGGGGCAAGCGGTGCCGCCGGTGGTCAGGAGCCCGTCTGTGAGGAGTCGCAGCCTGGAGAGGAGCGACAGTGGCATGA